GTTTAAAAAGAAATGCGTCTGGTGGGCTCTGCGGACGTTATTGATGATGAGCCCGAGGGCATGGGTGAGTTAAAGGAAGCACGGTATCCAGCTGACTTCAATTTATGTTGGAGGCAGTCCTGTGGGCTTTATAAAGAGATCTCGGGAGCTAACGAGGTGAGCTTTGTATAATGTTGCCTTGACTTAATTAATCAAATAGGCCAAGTAATTGATTGATTAAGCCAAGTATGAGTCATGTTTTTGCTTCGCAAGAATAAAAGAGTGAGCAGATCCTTTGGCTGTTCCAGGCTGGACACCGCGATGCTCTGACGGGGGTGACCGAATGACTGCTAAAAAAGAGCCTTTGGATCTTCTGAGACCCATCTTGGGGGCTGCTGAGGGTTCCTGGGTCTGTTTGGACTGTCGTCCAGAGCCTCACCGTGCTGTGAAAACAAAATATAAACAAGTGTTTCATTGCACAGTGAAATATGGCCGTCAGCGCAGTGGCTCCGTTGTGTTACTTTGCAAACGGTTCCCCAAAAGAATCGGTTGTCTCCTGGAAGCCGGCAGTCGTGGCCCTTGCCGTGCCTCCGGTACACCGTCCGCCCTCACCAGGGGACGAGACGCTCTCTGCGGTGAGCCAGCCCTGTGGCCAGTGCTGCAGTCTCTCCTGAGGGGGTGTCGGTCCCGGTTCTCTCGGCACCAGCTGGTCCCTGTCGGGCGATCTGGAGCAGCCCAGGTGTGATTTCCGCTGGCAAGATCGCAGCTCCTCGGCCTCCTTCCAGAGCAGTCAGGGCGCAGTACTCTCTGCTGTGCTACTGTGCGCTGAACTAGCGGGGTGAGTGCAATCTGGATACACAGCTGGCTCTTCTTCCACAAATCGGGGCTTCCTCGTGGTTTGGGTCATTACAAGATAAAGGGACTGCATTTGTGTCTGCTCCTTCATTAGACTGTTCACATTACCGGGTGGGTTAAGGGCATGCAGCACAACCCGAGTCAGTTCAAGTAGGGAGCTGCTTCAGCATGCGTAGGCTGCAAAGGGGCAAGTAAAGGTAAGAGGAAAGAAACAACCTTTTCAGATGTGGAGCCTTCTTCGGCTGTTGTTTCTTTTCTCTCTTCAGCATGGAATAAGCCTTTACTTGCTCCTTTACAAATTCAGTTATCTGCTTCCATGAATGTTGAGATCACATTTTACAGCAAAGCTTTTGCTTCCAACTTGGATTAGATCTACCGTCTTGGGAACTTGGGACTCAGTGCTGTGCTTTACGCAAGATGTGCCTGGGTTTTGAACCACTGAACTTTGTGCAGACTTCATCAGCCTGGGCGATACTGGTGTAACGAGATTGATTGGGCAAAATGCAGCTGTTTTTTTGACACCGAAAGATCAATAGTGCAGTTCTGTGATCAGTTTATAAATCTTCGCCAGTCAGAATCACACCTCCAGGGGCTGTTTCCTTATCTCTATATCAAAGGTCAATTGACATTCCATAAACTTGAGAAAGCCCATTGGCACTGCTGAGCAGGGGGGGCTCAGCAGTGATCTTTAAGGGTTTAATGTCTACTGCTGAAATATGGATTTTTCCTAAGTGCTGTGAGTAATAAAAGTGATCTGTCCACTGCCCCAAAATGTGTCCAGTGGTCACCAACCAATGTGTTTGTCCTAAATTTAGCCTACATCACATTTAACTTTTCTTATCTCTTCTATAGTGTCTGCTAATCTTCCATAGTTGTGACATCTTATCTGTTCCTGAAATTTAGGGTCAAATTCCAGCACCTCCTGTCACGTCCTATAGCAGCATTAGAAACTGTTAATCCAAGCACTGCTGAAACTGCCACCCTGGTTACTCGCAGTGTTCCGATTCTCCTCCGTCCTCTTGAATAGCTTGTCCGCTGTGAAATGACAGGAGTGACACGGCCTCATAGCCTGGCCTTGCGAGATCTCCGCAGATAAACTGAGTCTGCTCACTGCATGAGTGACCTCCTGTTGCTGCTGAAAGTGGTGTTGGTGGGGACCAGTAGGTGGTGCTCTTCCCTCTGAAGCACAGTTGCCACTCCATTAACGCAGTGTGCTGAGACACTGTGATTTTAGAAGGCCCCGTATACCTGGTCGCACAGATCACACATGTTGTAAGAGTAGGGTTATCCCAGAAGCCCTGACAATATCCTCTCTGGCCTTTCGCAGTCTGCAGTTATTTTTCACTCCTCCCCCCGATCTGCCTGCTGTGGGACTGTGGCACAGAATAGCTGGGACTGTGGTGGGTCCCTCCTGTGTGCAAAGAGATCTGGGATGGAAAGCTGTATGCAGATGCTAGGAGTTAGTATTATACATGTACTGAGAGGTCCCACTGCCCGTTCTGTGCTGCTTCACTCTTCCTTGCAGAAATGTCTCATTGTGTATACGAAGCCCCTCATTGTGTATACGAGGCCGGTTGTTTTGCCGTGAGCCCCGTCCAGGCGGTTAGTTCAGGCGCTTCTCCTCCCATGAATGAAGAGCGTCTCTTGGGGTAGGATGACATCCCCGATGACAACTGTACTCGTGAGTTAAAATGGAAAGAGACTAGGTAAGAAGATACAGGAGGACCTGCGACCTAGCCTGGCCGTCGTCTCCACAGTGCGGTTGAGCGTGATGTCATGATGGGCGTTCCTCCAGGAGCACCAGCGTTTCGTTTCTCGCTCGGCCGCATTCTTTTGGTGTTTCTGCCCGGCGGGTTGGTCGCCGGCGTGTTCTGGGAGCCTGCGAGGTCACAGGGTTTGTGAGAGCTCTTCGTGGACTCTGTCTCGTGACGTCTGCTTCTAATATAAGATTAAGCTGGCTGCCCTCTGGCAAGAAGAGGGAGTGCGTACAGAGATATGAGACGTCTGGGGCTCTCCTGGGGCAAAAGAGAGCGGAAAGGGGTTAAGTGGCTGTGAGGGAGGAGCAGATGACCACATGTCCCATTTGGAGTTTAGGGGAATGTGGTCGCTCTAACCTAATTATCCATGGAAAAGGGTCATGTGGTCTTGTGAGTAAAGCACCCAGCTTGTGACGAGAGCCTACACTGAACCCCAGGGCTATTTCTGCCTTGTAGGGCTCAGCCTGCACTCTGGATGCAGGCCTTTTCAGATTGAGCCACTCCCTCCTCCAGCACCACAGGTTTAAGGATCTCCGAGTCCCGTACTTGTACATTATCGTATCGGAGGGGCGTGATTTGCAGAACCTGGTCATGTTTAAAACGGCGGTCTTGGCAGGGAGATACATGTGCAGTACAAGATCTATGCACAAAGGCAAAGAACGGTAAAGGCAACATTACAGCAGCTGTCTCGGGTAGACTGACACTGGATTGCCCTTGGGTTGCCACAGGATTTCCTGTGGATGCTGCTGCTTGCTACCATGAGATGATCAGATAAGATCACTTTATTGGCCATATACAATTTCTTATATTAGGAATTTGTCTTTTCACATACCCCAGCTTGCTCTCCATGAGACACACGGACAGGGAGAGAAGCCTGAGGGTTAGCCATTTATATAACGCCCCGTAGCGGTTTTGGGGTTAAGGGCCTTGCTCAGGGGCCCAGCGGAGTAGGATTACTCTGCTGGCCGCGGGATTTGAACCGGCAACCTTCTAGCCACAGGCGCAGATCCTTAGCCACAGAGCCACTATCCCACCCCTGTGGAAGATGTGGAAGTGTTTTGGGACTACCAGATGGGAATAATGAATAATTTATGGGGGGTGAGAGAAGGAGGGCATTGTGCTCCTTTTAATATGGCAGGGTCTGGCGCTGCTCTCCTTTTATAGCATGGCTTTGTGAAGCCCTTACAACATGCGGGCACCTCCAGGAATGGAGGCTTGTTTACTGCCAGGACTCCAGTCCACGCACCCCTGCCCTGCGACACGCCGCTGGCCAGTTCAGGGGTCCCAGTC